AGGGCACCAACTATCATATACCAGAATGAAGCTTTCCTGCCATTCCCCACCTCAACTCTGTAGAAATTCTTAGCCACATCTCTGCACTTAAGAATTTTTCTCCACATCCAAGATCCACTCTGAGCATTTTCTTTGATCATCCAAAACGAGCCTTTTCTGATAAGATAAACCTTTATCCAACTGACCCAAAGCGAATGAGCAGAAAGAATTCTCCATATAAGTTTAAGGCAGCATACTTGATTCACTTCTTTTAACGGCCTTAACCCCAACCCTCCTTCTTGCTTCATTTTGCATACTTCGACCCAAGATATTTTCGCTTTTCTTCCATTCAGAGCCGGTCCCGACCATAAGAACGCAGAGCATATTCTCTCAATCTCTTTAATACAACCACTAGGGAGCCTAAAAGCTGCCATCCAGAAATTCGTGAGGCTTCTGATAACTGAGTTAATAAGCTGCAATCTACCCGCGAAGGAGAGAAATCTTCCAGACCAAGAACTGATCCTCTTTCTTATCTTCTCCACCAGTGGAATAAAATCAGTGATAGTCATGTTCTTTGTTAGAAGAGGCAATCCAAGATAGCGAACAGGTAACTTGCCCGTAACAAATTCGAACTCACGAAGAATCTCATCACCTCTCTGAGTAACACCAGCCATAAACATAACAGATTTCTCTCTACTAATCTTCAACCCACTCATCTTATCAAAAACCTCAAAAATATTAAGAATACCCTCAATAGAGCTTCTAGTTCCATCCGCAAACACCATGAGATCATCCGCAAAGCAGAGGTGGGTGAGATCAATGTTTTTACACCGTGGATGATACCCTATCTTACCCTTCCTAGCAGCATCATCCAGTAGCTTAGATAAAACATTCATGCATATCACAAATAGGTAGGGAGAGAGCGCACAACCTTGTCTGAGTCCCCGTCTGCTCTGAAAATAACCAGCAAGATCACCATTCACTTGCACAGAGAAAGAAGCAGAAGTTACACATATAGAAATCCAGTTAACAAATTTACTAGGTAGACCCAGGGCTTCCAAAGTATTCAGCAAGAATGGCCATTGAACAGAATCGAATGCTTTAGAGATGTCAATCTGCATAGCACACCTCGGAGAGATGTCCCCTTTATGCTAGTCTTTAACCAATTCCATCGCAAGCAATACATTCTCCATTAGCAAACGCTCTTTAATAAAAGCCGATTGGTTCAAAGTAATGCATTTAGGCAGCACCCTCTTCAGCATATTTGCAATTATCTTTGAAATAACCTTGTAAAGAACGTTGCAACACGATATGGGTCGGTAATCCTTCATTATTCTCACCTCCTCTTTCTTCTGAACAAGAGTTTAAATCGTAGAGTTCAAACCTTTCGGTAGAAAACCCTTAATGAAGAATGAATGAATCGCCATGGTAACATCCTCTCCTATTATTGGCCAAGCTCCCTTGTGGAATTCTGCTGTAAACCCATCAGGACCTGGAGATTTATCACTTGGCATATGAAAAAGAGCCTCTTTTATCTCATCCTTGGAAACTTCTCTCTCCAACATCATACAATCAGCTTCACTACACTGAAATCCAAGTAGCTCCTTCAAGCTATCCACAGAAGCACCCTCAAAATAAGTTGGTTGTAATGTCATAATAAACATATTTCACGATTTCAAGATGCTGATAACAAAATCGATTTTTCTCAAACTGAATGGTAACGTTGTTTGGCATTAGATTTTATATTTTCTATGTATAACAAACATGTTATGAAAATAAATATTATATATATGTAGTATTGACAGTGACAATGAATATACATATCATCTTTAATAGAGAAACTAAAATTGCAAGATCGTTTTCTTTAGTTTCCTCATTCACTAAAAAAATGGATTGGTATACTACTAATTAACATGCCAAAAACATCTGAAATAAATATTATCATTAAGCAAACACAAGAAATATAAATTTTGAAAAAACCTTTACTAATATTATTACTAAACACTAATTTAAAGTCAGACCTTCTATGGATAATATCAGGAAATCAATTCGGATAGAAGTACAACGAAAATAATAAGAAGCAATGGGCTTAACTATAATTGTTATACTAAATTTGAGTATAAAGATTTTATTGATTATCCTGATTCTATGACCATTTGTGTTTATCTTGAAATCTTTCATAGAATACCAATTATTTTCGCTGAAATCATTTACAGAGAATAAAACATATACATGAGGAATAGTTGCTAAAATTTTGATTCCCGTGAATAGATATTCTACAAAAATAAAATACATACATTTGTACATGCTACCAAATTATTCTAAAAACATATATATAAGTGTTTTTTTCTGTCCTAATGAAGCCACCTAGGATGCCATGTCAGAAAGTCGAGTTTTGTGAGCACGACACCTGTCCGAAGAATGAAACTCAGCGTTTTAATTATTCCTGAGCGTAATGGGATTTTGCTCGTTACCCGTCTGTTATCATGTTTGGGCTCTAGATTTTGATGGTTTTTTTCAGCCCTGAGTATATGGAAGCGTCTCTAACCCTAAATAGTGACTACGTGAAGAAATAGCGATAGAGTTCGTCAGACATCCGAGTTCGTCTCTCCACTTCCTTCTTCAATATCAAAACTCAAATTTGTTTTTCCTACCTGTCATCCTCATTAATGAGTTTCTCCGTTGAAGTCTCATGAGCTTCTCGATCTCGAGTGTTGCTTCTCAGGCCGTCTAGAACCTGTCTTGATGCCCCTCCGACTACTCCGCCTGTGTCTCCTTTGTGAGTGGCTCCACATATCCTCCTCTGCCTCATTATACTAATTATTTTGGGAAGCCCGTAATGCGAGAAAGGTAGTGATATCATGGGCGTCGACATGCTCCTCCTCGACCAGAAAGTATTCCGGCGACCAATAGCCTCTTCTGAGTACTTTATATGGCTGATTACATATTCCGGCATCCCAGCTCCTTTTTGGCTGAGTTTAAGCAGAAGACCGACAGGATTTAATTAGGTCTCACCCGTTGACGGTAGTTGAAATCAATCCAGACTCTGTCTTGATCCTTTAAGCTCAAAAAGGTCTCTTTGATTAAGCTCAAATCAATCTAGACTCTGTCTTTAAATCTTTATTTAAATTGGAAAATTTAGTAAAAGACCAGAACACCAAAAGAAACTCGAATAATTACAAGGCAACCACGGGTATTTCGTGGATCATCCAAACCCGAATCCTAAAATTTGGATAACTTCAGAAACATTACTGAAATTTTGTGTAATTATATAACTTGGTGTAAGTGTAACTGTAATCTAAGTTGAACTAATTCACACTTGTAGTAACTATACAACTTAGTAAATCTTCAACTAATTTTCATTGTATCTTGTACATTTGCAATATGTTATTGATATATTTAGTGATTACATATCGATTCAACGTTGATTACAGTTAATCCAAGACATATAAAAATAGTTATTCATTTGCATTATGTTACTGATAAATAAAAAATATAGATTAAGTTAAACAACTTATAAACACACGAAATGTATTTTACATAAAGTACTTATAAACAACTTATAAACACGAAAATACTTCATCTCTAATCTTCAATTGGCAGTGAGCAACAGTCAAATGAATATCATTGCAGAAGCCCCAAACTGCACACTACCATAAACAACGATTGCATGGTATAATTTCAGAGCACCATCAATTATAACCGATGATGGAATCTATCTTTTCCAATAGAGACATAAAGATCTATGGCTTTTCGTAACCCCAATGACCTAAGGATACCTCAGTAGTGAGCATGTGATTCATCTGATCAGCAAACTCACGTGTAAAAGTATGATATTTTTGAACCAGTCCTCTATCATCAACACTTAATGCTAAGTTGAGCATATCATCAACATACGTGGCCAACAAAAATCCCCTCTCACCAGCAAGACATATTTTTTTCCTTCCTTGATCAAGTAAATGGAGGACAAAAAACTCATACATACCTCGCATGTAGATGGCCTGTGGATTACCGGCTTGGTAGCACTTAAGCATGTATGTTTTGACAGCATTAACCTCATCAATCCAGTCATTCATGAAGTGAATAAGATCTGCAGATTTGTAGAAGTATTCTTCTCTGCCAATTTGATTGAAGGCGGGCAATGCAACTCTTGCACTATCGAGTCCCATATAAGGTTTGTTGCTACCTTAAAGAGAATCTTTTGAAGCATAAAAGAAGGGAGAGAAGCCAAGTTAGAGTTCAACACGGTGAGAAGAGATTAGGGTAAATCGAAAGATTAGGGTAAGATTAACTTTTTGTAAATTTTCATAAAATGATAAATCCTTTTATAATAGCGATGATCCTCAGCAGTGGAGAAGAGATAAGATTGTATTTATCAGGACAACTGGTGATTTGATGGAGGTCTCGAGAAGGCACGAGTTCTGACTTAGAAAACGCATGCGTTGGATTTAAAACTTTGTAAAACTTTAAATGATAAAAATAAATAACTTTTTAAAACTAAGTGAAACCGCTTAGTTAGATTGTCTAAATATATAAAACTATGTAAACCTTTGAGAAATAAATATATGAGACTAAGAAAACGTTTAACAATTTACATAAGTGTAACAATTTTGATAGTCTATATATATGAAACTATGTAAACCTTTAAGAAATAAATATATTATTCATTAAGAAAAATAGGGGATAATAAATGAAGAGTAATTTAATTTGTGTAATAATGATTTATCACTTCAACTTCCAACTCAAGTCGTAACTCTTCCATTTAAGAGTGATTTGATAGGCAAACGGTGGCTTCCTCTCAACAATTTTCAGATTTATTACCCCAGCTACAAGTTAAACGATTTGAAAGACACGACTTTCCACACTAACATTCGCCTATTATCATCATTACACGTCATTTAAATCCTACAACTAAACTAGATCATCATTACATTTGCATTCAATTTAAAAAACCCTCAATTTAATCTCCACTCCATCGGAAAACATTTCACCGCAAAGAAAGAATTTATAATCTTTCAAATATGGAACACTACAATACTCTTCGTGAAGTTGTCTATAACGAGAAGGTCAAGCATTGGCGTTTCAAAGTGAAAATCCTAAGGATCTATCCTTTCTATTCCTATGTTACCAGCAAAGGACCACACCATGTTTATGTCTTAGCAGATGAACATGTAAGTACGAAATCATCATCTCTCAAGTTTCTAAAAACAACAATGGAAAATATAAACTCACTCGTTGATCTTAATTTATGCAGGGAACCAAGATGGAGATGTCCATCTATGATATATATAGAGATAGGTTTAGAGGCCTAGAGAAGCAAGAGGGAAAATGGGTGGAAATCTTTATTGTAGAAGTTTTCCGTGCCCGTTCAGGTTTCAAGGTAGCAAAATCCAAATTCACACTAACTTCTACTGGCGATACCCAAATCCACATCATCGATCCTATGAACAATCAGCTTTACTTTGAGTTCAAAGGCATTCATGAAATCCCTCACATAAGCTACAAGGAGAGAAATTTTCCCATAGGTACGAATTCTATCTAATAAATATATTTCATATGTAAGTAATGGAATCGAATATACTTATCTGGTAGATACAATGGGAGTGGTCTTTAAGACGGAAGCCCATTTTGATGATCCTGAAAGACCAAAAATGGTGTTTTACATAAGGGACAACATGTAAGTAAAAGTAAAATATGATCAAAACAAAAAGTTTGCATTAGTGTAATTGACTCACCTTGTTTTATTCATCATATTGAAAGTCATATAAAATGTGTAGCAACTGGGAAACATGCTTATACCTTCCAGGAAGGGTTTGAAAATAGGGGAGGTCGTCGACAGGTGATTGTGGTCCTTAACATGTGGAGGATCCGTGACTATTTCTGTAAGTGAAGTTTATGCTTATGTGTTCAGGTTTAAATGTGTTAGTTGACTAAAACCTTATCTAAACTCATTTATAAAGCTTATTTTTGTCCTATAGAAGAATGGCTTCAGACCGAGGGGAACTTATCTGACTTCAGGTTCAATCCGCCCTTGCCGGAGGTAGAGGATTTCAGACAATCGGTCAATAGCAGTGACCCTTATGTTCGAAAGTACAGAGCTATAGGGCCTTTGTAAGGTTTTATCTAATGTATTAGTGTTTCTTAAACTTGGTTTGTGGTGCGTGAACCTAAGAATAACTTCAAGTTAATATGAAGTTTGTGTTCGTATAACCAGGTCAAATTAGTGTTAGGTTCAATTTCTCAATTGTCCAACATCATAAACATTTGAGAAACTTTTAAGTTTACCAAACTTCTCAGTAGTTCAACTTAACTTGAAAGTTGGAGTTCGTATAACCAGGTCAACTTTTGTGTTAGGTTCAATTTCTCGATTGTCCAACCAATTTCTCAATTGTCCACCATCGTAAACATTTGAGAAACTTTTTAAATTGACCATACTTCGTAGTAGTTTATGTTCGCATAATTTAGGATAAACTTAGGAAAAACTTAGACAAACATAATGTTTAACTTCACATAAATTACAAAAAACTTAGACAAAACAGAATGTTTGACAAAGTCACTAGCTTTAGGAATCACTTGTACATTATAATTTAACCGAGAACTACAACGACAATGATGATACTAACAACACAACATCCTGATATCACTATCTTAGGCATTATTTTGGGACCTTTGCTGCTTACTGTTGCTTTGAGAAATTAAACTTCTTCTTCTAGCATTCGAACTTGGTACTCCAACTGTTCAATCTCATTGGTGAAAGCATTTCAAGCCGTCAACAATGGCTTGCAAATAACATAATTTAAAACTTCTTCTTCGTGACCGTCGTTCTCGAGCTACAACATTCCAACATTTTGTTCAAAATATTTAAGAGAACAACCCTTCGATAACTAAAGCTAAACGGACACTACCCTCTTTTTTGCCACCTTGATACACCGATAATACCGGCGATATGGATTTGGACCGGATTTGGAGATGAGCTCGTTGATGCTCTCCCTGCACCAACACCTCTTAGGTATCCCCGGAATTCTTACTCGTCATCTCCGACCACCGGTCGAGGAAGATGAAGGGGACGTAGTTGGGTTCGACTTTGGGGGATTTCAGTTGAGAGAGAGAGAAAGATAGATAAAGGGAAGAGAGAGAAAGTGAAATCTAGAGAATGTGGGAAAATGCAAAAGTAAGGGTTTTATTACTAATTGGATTGGGAAGAAGGGGAAAGAGTGAGATTAGAAATGCGAAAAGTGGGTGGACAGGAAATTTTTAGCCTAGTATTTTTGTGACTGAAGTTTCACCAAATTTGCAGTTTTACAAAAAACATCAAAGTTGTACTTTATAATTGTTTCCATTTATCTTGGTTTTACTCTATTACGATGACTGATTTTATGGTTATACTAGTTATGTTATGTATACTAGATTCATTTTTCATTTGTCCATGTATACATAAACTCGATTTCATTACATAGTAAGATTTCAAATAAGACAAGGTGAATATTAACCAAAAACATATAAGAAGACAATGTAATGACATCATGATTACTAATAACCAACGAGATTTTTTTTTGTTCTGATAAAATCATAATCAAACAACCCAAAATAACTCATAAAATACCATCTTATTAATACTTTCATAACAAGTTTAAAATTTACAATCCTAGTACTCAGTCTACCTATCGTACTTATACCAGTAAATAAAGTTTCACTTAGTTGCACAACAAAAAATACAAATCTCACCTTTCAATGTCTCCTATTCTGTTTCCTGTGGGCATGTTCATTGTGTTCCTTATGTTCCAAACCAGTACCCACATTATCTTATTCTCCATATCCACTCTCACGCTCACCATAGTTCCTACTACATGAGCTTTCATTCTCAACTCTTGATAGTTTCTTGGTTATTTGAGCTATTTCAAATTCTTGGGTGTCCTCTACATGCAAAATACTTCTTCTTTGTTCTTTATCCACCGATGTTAGATAAACAAACATATATTTATCATCCAAAATATATGATTATCTCTTAGGTTCTACTACAAGTGGAATGTAACCGAATTTCAGCCTCTTCGTAAACGGATCTATTCCCATCTTCCTGCATATTCTCTCCTTCAACAACAAATAGGTGATCTCTGCGAATGATGATGTCCTAAAGGATATACCATACAAATGACCATCGGTTAGATACCATTCATAATTATCTCCAGACTTAGAATAATGTCCATTATAATCAAAGTGTATGTTTGTAGAAGAAAGACTCATCTGCAATTAAAAACAAATTAAACCACTAAGTTATACCTGATTTATTCTTGGTTATAAAGTTATAGCATGTTAGTTATACGAAGTTATACATTGTTACACAGTTTTGTCAGTAATCAACTTTTTCCAACTTTCCAAACTTTTCCCAACTTTTCTAGTTCTAGATATTCGTCCTCTTCAATTCGTTTCAATAGTTATCAGTTTGGATTTACGACGTTCTATATTTTCTTTTTCTTATGATTACAGTCGTTAATTATCCAATTCCATAATAGACCAGACCATTCACACATTCTGATCCTCAATTACTCTAGTCCAATTAGAAATATCTGTAAATCGATCCTGTATGCTGGATTCTAAACATTGGGTTACGACGAGTTAGGAATGATTTAAGATACATACCCTGTCAATGGAATCAATATCTCAATGATTCAGCATCCAAGCAGACGAATTCAACCGACCTAAGCGATGATAACGACGATGAAGAAGAAAGAAACGAATCCCGCGGATGAAAGAGAAAAAACAGATCACTTCCGATTTGGAAATAAAAATAATTTAGAGGATTCTCGATTTTGACTAATTTTGACCGATTTTGATTGATCATTAATTCGATCAAGTAGGGAGGGGCACTTTCGACATTAACCACCCATATGGAGAGTATGAGAATAGAGAGGAGTTTGCGAGAATAAGTAGAGAGTATGTCAGAGTGAATTTTTCTTCATTAAGAACATTCCATTTCCAGCATTCACCCAGAGAAGTTGAACCTGATGAAGTGGAAGGTGACGTTTAGTAAGAAGAGGAAGATATACGAAACTGTGGATTGCAAAGTAGTTGAATATGGCACTAAGGCTAATGAATACAATCAGAAGACAATGTTAAAACAGAAGATGTTCAAGCTGATACATACATGTAAGTTTGTTTAAGCTCTGATATTGTGTGTTTATGTTTCAATCATGTAAAATTGATTATGTTCTTAAAAATGGTTGGTTTCGGTAACACAAAAGATGGGATTGTTTCTAGGAAGTTATATTTTGGGGGTATTTCTTATGAGAGCACAAAAGAAGAAATTCATAGATACTTCAGAAGCTCAGGGTCATTACAAAAAATGATTATAAAATGCGTAAGATGGGTCATTCAGCGAATTGCTTTATCACTTTCTAGGTGAGTTTATCCTGCAACATTGCTGTTTCTTTTTGAGTAATGTTTATTTGGAGTCATGTTGAGATGTGCAGAAGAACATTGATTGCAGTATTGGTATTCAAGAACACATGTCTCTTTGTTTGAGGTGTAGGATAATTTCAATTTCATAGAAATCATCATGACATTGGTTAAGTTCATGTATGATTTGAGTTACAAAACGTTAACAGTGTTTACACATAGGACTGTTAGACAATAAATGTTTTGAAATCTTTCCCTTCTCTTTTACATATTAAAGACGGAGCTTAATAGTGTTTTACCTTTTGATAAAGCTTCTCTATAAGTAATATATAGTCGTAACTAAAACATATAGAACTTTTAGTTCACAAGTGAAATTGTATTAATCGTTCTGATTCTGAAACCCAATATAATATAAAAGACTGATTTCAGGATTTTAAATAAGCAGGTGTGACACAAGAGAGGAACAATTAACTACATTCTTATTAATCCCATGATACTCTTTCGAAAACCAATAGACACAATGAATTGGTTACAGTGTATATAAATTGACGCCTACGTTTGGGTAAAGGAAATTAAAAATAGATAACCTTCCCATTTTTATTCAGGATACATAAAATCTCTGTCTTGAAGTAAGCATAAAACGTTATCTATATTACCTTTTTTACACCAAAAAAACACTAACGTCGAATTGGTCCGATGGTAAAAGGGTTTTTTTTTTTTTTTTGAACTGAGGCTTACCGATGGTAAAAGGGTTACAACTGTAACTTCCGTTATTTAGATTCAACTCACGGTGGGAGGAATTATTTACAGTGTTTGGGTTCCCGACAAAAAGATATTTCACCTTTTGTTACACAAAAAAAACGTTACCTATATTATTAATCAAAGAAACACGAAGTAGATTGTAGACTTTGTAGTAATCAAAAGAAGAAACAGTTATTTCAGTTTACGTGTTTAAGATATTTATTCTCCAAATATAGCTCTCTAAAGATACCAAGTTTATGAAAGAGACCTTACGCCGGCGCAAATGATACATAGTTGCAACTCAATCACGCCTTTAATGTGTTTCACCAGAATGGAATGCCAGTTATAACTAACATCATCGGTAGAAAGCTAACAGACACTCCTATTGGTTTCATTAAAGGAAAAAAAAAGAGTTTTAGATGTATAATTTTTTTTTGAACATTTCCTTTAAGATTTATTAGAGTGTTTTTCCGTGCTACGTGCAGATTACATAATTTAATTTTTATTTTTTCAAAATTCTTATATAAGTAGTTTGGTTTTAATTTTTGTGTAGCACGGAATACATATTTTAATTTGTTGGTTTTCAAAATTATTATATAAATGGTTTGGTTTTAATTTTGTTAAGATATATTTTATATATATTTTGGGCCTCTCTTATAATATTTCAACTTTTTCTATGATACTCTTTTTAATTTTTTGATTAAGGTAGCAAAACTTTTATGTTATTTTAAAATAATATTACATAAACCTGAAAACGTCATTCTGTTAAAGAAGAGGGAAATAAGTTGGAACTGGATTTCTTCTCTTTGTCTTTGAGCTACAATTATTTCTAATGTAGAATGATGTCCTATTGTTTACTAATTATAATTGAGCAAACGATTTTTTATTTTATTTTAATATGTCTTTGTATCTAAGTATACATAGAATTTTATATATTTGTTATATATCGTAAATATTAAAGGGCGAGTCGAAAATATATATATTTATATATTTAATACTTTCATTTTAAATATTTCATTTTCCAAGTTATGATATTTTCTAGTAGAGAAAATAATTTAAATGTGGTGTAACATACCATCAGAAACTTTGTTTTATATTACTAATCCATAGATAAGCTTTCTAAAAAGATTGTGGGCTAAGAATTTAAATTATGTAAGGTAATAAACTACTGCTAATTAAAAAAATTATTGGTTTTAATTAAAAATATGCACATTTCTAAATTAAAACTGATTATTAATTGATGTTTAGTTTATTTATAAGTGTTACAAAAAAAATTTTAAAATAAGTTTAGTTTATTTATATTATAGATATGTAATCATAATATAAATTATTATTTTGAAAGTTCCGATAGATTGTCGTTTATGTATATCATCGTATGCATGTTGGTTGGTAGATGTTTTGTTGGATATTCAATTTTGTCAAAGCAGACCGAGCCAATCTCGTGTATAAAAGCATGTATTAGCAATATGAATTGTCTAAATTCTCAAATCACATAAAATGAGTAGACAATTTTTTTCTTGGGGTTTATGCCACTGAAACTGTATGGTTTAAAAACCGAAGCTCCTCTTTCGTAATCAACAGTGAATAATCTCTACGTCAAGAAGTATATTAGCTGCCTTGGCATAATTGTGGATAATACTGGGATCACATTGCTCATGTATAAACACAAGCCCTCTCACAGCTCCTATAGCTATCCTCTTCCTAATGCTCCAATCAAGAACCAGTTTAGCTTTCATTCTAGATGCTACACTTCCGTTAGACATGTAAGGATAAACCAGAAGCTTCTCAGCTTGCGTGATGCAGAAGCCATAGAGTCTTAAGAGGTTTCTGTGGACAGCTAAACTGATCATCTCTACTTCTATCTGAAACTGAATCTCTCCTCCTAATGCATTCCCATCTTTAAGCCTTTTCACTGCAACCACGGTGTTGTCTCCAAGTATACCTTTGTATACATTCCCATAGCCACCTTTCCCCAATAAGTTCTTGCTGGTGAACTTATTTGTTGCAATCTGAAGCTCCCTGAAACCAAACCTCCTCAAGTTTCCTAGTGAGACTTCCTGATGGTAATGCCCATCTGATGAAACCATTACAAAGTTGAAAATAATTCTTGTAAGAGTTTGATATGCAAGTAAAGAAACAGAGAAGTAACATACCTTTAAAATCAAAGAATTCGTGTTTGGTTGTGTTTTTGTCTCCACCAGAGAAACAACCCAACAGCAATGACGATCATTGATACAATCCCTACGCTACCTCCTACAGCTATAGACATTTTGTGATTCTTGGATCTACTGGTGTATAAAGGAGATAAAAAGAGAAAAAAAGTTGCTGGTTAGGTATTATCAAAGAGCAGCATAGCTAAAGTTTACTTCAAGTAGCTAGCTAGTTACCTCCAGTATTATTCAAGTTCATAGACATTGGTATCAGTGTAGTTCCGTTGCAGTCTGGTTCCTTACCCGTTGGACAGATCAGTGGGTTCCCCACGATGCTGTAATCAAAAAGGAGACTATTAAAGTTGATCAGAGCTATAGAGAGAGTGAAGAACTGAGTCATTAAGAAAGAATCCAACCACTTAAAGCTCTTTGCGGCAAAACTTGGGACGGGAGCACTAAGATTGTTGTATGATAAATCACTGTTGACAAATAAAACATCTAAAATCTTAACAATATATACATGTCTTTATTGGTGTCATGGTTACTGGTTAATGTAAACTGAAGAAACTGATTGATTTAGGCTTACAGTAAGGCAAGCTGAGTCATGTTGGATAGTGACAGAGGAATTATTCCAGAGAGAGAGTTGTTGTTAAGTCTCCTGATGATACACAATATAACATATCAAGATCATAAACTTCCTTTAAAACAATACAATTTTAAGAGATACATTAACAAATTTTACTGCAATCTCATTGGCACAACACAAAGTTCAATTCCGAGACAACAATCTTCCAATCACTTTCATGTATGATCTGGGGCAAGTGAAAAAAATGGTATCAATAAAGTTCCATTATTGATCGCATATCACAATTATAGGGAGAATACACCATAGAATCTGCCAAAAAAAAAAAAATTGGAATCACAAAATTAGGGTTGTCTATAATCAAATTGGCCGATCAATCATACCTCAGAATCGCCAAACACAGACTCCAATCGCTATCTTCCAATCAGCAACACCTGCTCCTTTCAGTCGATGTTGTTCCTCTCTCTCACGATGAACAAATCGTTCGGTTATATCGAAGGAAAGATACAAACATAGATAGAATCGCTTTGGTGTCGTACAATCCCTGGTGACTAAAAAAGGATAGATAGAGAGAGAGAGAGAGAGAGAGAGAGGAAGCGAAGAGAAAGAAAAAAAAAAACATCGTTTTGTTTTCCGTGTAAATTCTGTGTCTAGTAACAATGTTCTGACGTGACTATTTGGAACTTTTTTATTCATTGATTATAACTGTGAACGTGGCATAACTTATATACCTTTATATCGGGATTTTAATAGTGTTAGATATGCCTCTAAACAACATCCTAATTACTCCACCCACTGCTCATTTCCCCTGCAGAAATGGAAAAAATGTGACACATAAGCAGTGCGAAGCCAGGAAATAATTTAACCGGGGTCATAATTTAAATAAAACTTATATCATATATATTAATGTAATATATTATAAATAAATAGGTAATGTTTATTTTACACATTAAATGATGGAATAACCTATCAAATAACAAAAAAAATATTATCTAAAAATTATTAAATATATTTTTAATTGTTATTATATAAAAATTGTACCCAAAAGTAAAAAACTAATTAAATTTATACTGGTAATGAAAAAAATAAGTAGTTCTGGATTTTCGTGAGGAGAAAATAAAAAAAAAAAATATATTATGGAAACATATTTGAGAATCTAAAATAAATATGCCTTTCGTTCCAAAAAAAAGGATTTTTCACACATTTTAAGGATAAAATTACAATATAAATATATAACTCTATTTTAATACATAAATTAAAATGAAAAGATATTATATGTAGTGATTTTTAATTAATACAAGCAAGATGGAGAAATATACTATAAAGGTACATTGCAACACACAAAACTGATCTTTAAAAAATGTCAAAACTGCCATTTTGTACAAAGGCAGGAGTAACAAATAAAAAATATTTTTAAAATTTTGGTAAAAGAAAAGAGAAAATATGTGGCATATGCTTGCAAGTGGAAATTATATTAGCCAATAAATAACTATATAATTTTTAGAAAGGAGGAAACGTAAGACACAAAAACTAAAGATTTAACGGAACTAAAATTAAATAGAGGGATCATCGAATGGGCTTGAGCGCTGGTTAAGGGGGTCAATATAGGACATTTACACCAAATATGCCGCTGATGTTAGATGACTCTAGTTAGCCTACTAATTTAATTTATGAACTTTAACTGGGGTCAACTGACCCACTCTGCTATATATAAATTGACGCCCATGCTTAGGACATTTATACAAACCAACAAACTTAGATACAATGTTAACCAGAAAAATTGATAAAGGTAATGATAAATATTACTTATTATTTTTATGAATATGATTTTTTTTTGTTAAAAGATTTAAGATGATTTGCTTTTGTTAAGTAATCTGTTTAGATGAATCTAGTTTCCAATAACAAAAAAAGAAATTTGATACTGAATTGAACTGTAAAACGAAAAAAATGAATAATTTAAAATTAGTTTACATTTTTCTATAGCTACTTCTATTTTTATAATATATTATCAAAATTTATATATTTAAATAAGTATACTAAATATATAATCAAAATTCAAATTTAAACAAAAATTTGGGCGTAGCCCGAACAGACCCTAGTAACAATATATAGTAGAGAAACATATTTTAGTTAAATATCCAACCTCATAGTCGGCCAAAATCAGTTTCAAGTTACATTCCATGAAATGATAATTTGATTTCCATTTTCGTAGTACCTTAACTTGAATAAGCTGAATATTCTCTTGAACATGATTCAGCGTGGACATAGACGTATAGGTTGTTATCTTTGGTTCAAAGAATAGAACACTTTTCACGGAGAGAAAAACTTGAAAGTCTGCAAATGGTTCAATAATTAATTGTAAATTAATTTATATACTTGGTAGTTTAAGAAAATAAATATTTAGGGTAGAATAGGCCTTGGCATAAAAGTCGTAATCCGAAATCTGAACAAAGCTCGAACAAAAACCTGATCCATATCCGATCCAAACTGTAAAATATACCCAATAGGATTTGTAGGGTGTTACAAAACATATCCAAAACCGAAGTGTTATTAATCAAACCCAAACGGGTAACCAGAAAAACTAAAAAAATATCTTAAAAAATCGATACAGATATCCAAAATAATAGGCAATATAAATATTTAAAACCTAATTATCTACTTCAAAGATTCAATTCGAGATTTATTTTGATAAAATATCTAAAAATGAGTATTTAAAATTTTAATAGGTAAATTAAATACGCAATTATATATAAATAAATTTATATTTTTATGTTTTCATATGAACCGATCTGATATAATCCGAATCTGAATGATATATAGTTACTTTATAGATTTTAAGATGTGATAAATATTAGAAACTAACCGATGTGTTATATCCGAACCTATCTCATACTTACAAATTTATTAGAATATGACCTAGAAGATAATACAAAAATTAGGTTTAAATCCGAAATACCTTATCTGATACCAATGGGTACACGAACATCCAGATCTACCCTAGATTATTAATATTTTGATAATACGAAACTCTATACTTTAATGAAGGTAGTAAATGAATGCCAAAATTTGTTTGCAAGGAAAATATCAAGGTAATATCGATAACAACATATTATAATTACTTTACACAAATTTTATGTTGTGTACCTTTTCAGGAGGTAGATAGGCAAATGAGACAAGGCATATTTTATGATTTTGTAGTAATATTAGTTGATAAGAAGAACACAATATAATATTGTAATCATGACGATAAACTGTCACTCAACTGTTTTATTTCACTAATTATTATTGTTGGTGTCAAAATCGATCACAGCGAAATCAATACATAAAAAGTTCTCGAGAGAAGTTCTACGAGAAAAAAAAAAAAAATTTCTTGGTAACACGACGTCACTAAAAATTTCAGGAGAAACCTAAGGAAGGCTACGAGATGTCCCGGGAAAAAATACGAACACACAAAACAAAGTAACGGACCAACAAAACGATCCACTTCGCCCGATAGATGAGGTGGACCGATCCACCTCACCTAACAGGGGAATTGGATCGACAGCACAATCCACTTTGTGGTGCAGCCCGGGTATGGCTTAAACTCTAGATCCCTTGAAGGTGGATGGATAGAAGGGTGTTCTAGGATGCTGATAGCCTTCCTTTGAACTGTGGTCGTCTCCCTGAGCCTGTGATTATGGCGCCAAGGATGGTTTGCTACTCCAAGACACAAGATCACCTTGTATTGTTTAGGATGGTTTCACAAGGAATTCCTTCCTTTAAGTGAGAACAAAGTTCTTTGTGCTGAACTGAGAAAGCATGAGACAGAGGCAACAAGTTGCTGAGAAATTATTAGATTCAAAGTTGTTTTGCTCTCAGCTGCTTACAAGCAATAAATAGAAAACGTGATCTACCCTAATCCTTAACCAGATTGGTTTAGGAAATCCTAATCCTAATTGAACTTGGTTTACTAATCCTAATTGTCTTTGGTTTAATCTAAATGAAATCAATTAAACAGAAATAAGATTAAACCAACAAGCTGGTTTATCTTGATTCTTCTCTTCTGGTTTACTTCCCACGGATTTGACTAAGTATTGAAGTCTCTCCCCTTGTGCTCTCAGCCTTGATCTGGTTACTGGTCCATTCCACAAGCTGGTTAGTTCACTTGGTGTCTCACTCTGGTTCTCTTCATTACCCTCAGCTTCACACCTCTCTTCTAAGGAAACCTCCTCACTTGGCGCCTCCTCATCAGTCTCACTCAGCTCCTCTTCTATGTCTCTGGTGTCTCTGGTCATGGCTACACCATCCCCTCCTCCTTTAAAAGGAGTTGACCTCAAATCCAAATCATCTGCAATAAAAGGATCCAAGTCAGAAACATTGAAAGTAAAACTGATTGTGTACTTCCCTTCGAGATCAATCTGGTAGGCATTGTTGTTGATTCTTTTCAGCACTTTGAAAGGTCCATCTTTCCTTGGCAGCAATTTTGATTTCCTTTCAACAGGAAACCTTTCTTTTCTAATGTGAATCCACACAAGATCACCCGGCTCAAGTACTAGCTCCTTGCGCCCCTTGTTCTTTTGCCTCTCATACATCTTAGTCCGCTCCTCAATATTCTTCCTGACCTGTACATGTAAAGACAAAACAAACTCGGCCTTTTGCTTACCATCAGGGTTAGTTTGTTCCTTTAAAGGTAAGGCAAACAAATCAAGAGGAGATAATGGATTAAAACCATAAACAACTTGAAAAGGTGACAGTTTAGTAGCTGAATGCATTGCCCTGTTGTATGCAAACTCTACATGTGGTAAACAATCCTCCCATGTCCTAATATTACTCTTAATGATGGCACGCAAAAGAGTAGACAATGTCCTATTGACTGATTCAGTCTGACCATCAGTTTGAGGATGACAAGTAGTTGAAAACAATAACTTAGTTCCCAATTTTCCCCATAGAGTTTTTTAGAAGTAGCTAAGGAACTTAGAGTCTCTATCAGAAACTATAGTCCTAGGCATCCCATGCAGTCTAACAACTTCTCTAAAGAATAGATCAGCTACCAAAGATGCATCATCAGTTTTATGACAAGCTATGAAGTGAGCCATCTTAGAAAATCTATCAACAACCACAAAGATACTATCTCTTCCTTTCCTAGTTCTAGGCAATCCTAAGACAAAGTCCATAGAGATATCAACCCATGGTGCAGCAGGAATAGGGAGAGGTGTGTACAAACCTGTTGGTTGGACCTTAGACTTGGCTTGCTTGCACACAACATACCTTGAACACACACGCTCCACTTCTTTCTTCATGCTCGGCCAGTAGAAGTGCTCCTGCTGTGTGGAGAGTGTCTTGGCGACTCCAAAGTGACCCATCAACCCTCCTGCGTGAGCTTCCCTAACATACAATTCTCTCAAAGAACCACTAGGAACACACATGCGGTTATCATAGAATAAGAATCCTTTCACTTCATAGAATTTACCACTAGCATGTTTCTCAGATTCCTTAAACACATCTTTAAACTCAGGGTCATCAGCATAGAAAGAT